TATCTTTCGAATTCAGCTGTCTGTTATTGATTAACAAACTAAGCTGTTTAAAAGCCATAATGCAATTTTTAAGAATTTTTTTAAAATTTTTAATCTGATAGAATTAAATAAAAATGCATTTAATTCATAATATATCTAATCAAAAACATTAAGTAAGTATTTTTGCAGAAATACGTTATATATATTTTCTAATTTTTCAACTGTAAAAAAATATAAAACGTTTCCATATTAGTCAAAATGTATATCCATTTATTATCCAATAGAATGTTTCGCTATTCCATAAATACCATCTCTACTGATAATTTCTAATGATAAATCATATCAAACTTTAAAAAAGCCCTTTTGGACAATCGTTAAAATTTTAACCCTTCAGAGTTTTAAGGTATTTTTTAACATTTATTATTTTTCTGTTCTTTTTTCCTTCCACACATAATCCCTGTGCGTCCACATAATTGTATAATCTTTTCTTCAGCGGTTTTGGCATAAAGTAACGATAAATAGAGGCTCCTTTAAAAAAACATCTCTTTCAATAAAACTAAAAATAAAACAAAGTCATTATAGAGACCAGTTTAATATTTTACGTTAATAATAATATTTGTTATTTGCTGATTAAAATAATTAAAAAGTTTCGCGGCTAAAATATGGAACTCGAATGTTTTTCTCTTTTTCTGTAATTCTTGCTGATAAAGAGTAAAAATAATAAGTGTACTAAAAAAGAGCTTTTTTCTTTCTTAAAATTATGTATGGAATTCTTAGAAGCAGTATTCTGATAACTAACATAAAACTGGCGAGTAAGGTAGACAGTTGTGCAGTTATTGATCGTTGGTTTGGTTTGTTCGGCAGTTGAAACGATCGTGTTCGGCTTTACACGATTTTGCTCTCACGATTCGTCTAACACCTAACTCATGATACCTTACGCTTGTTTACTTAATCTAAGCGATTGGAAGTAAGTTGACGGGTGTCTGAAATAAATAAGTAAGAAGGTGATGAAGAAGAACAGGGAAACGGCTATTGCGTGAAGATGGGAAAATCTGGTTAACATAAATATTCTCCGCCTACCATTTACCGGTTTTTTTTCTTAATCTCATCACCGCCTATAGCAGAGACTGAGTTTATTTTAAATACCGATGTTATTTATGTGTTATACTGATACCTATAAAGCTGTATAAAGAGAAAAATATGCTTGTGTGCTTGGTCGGAATTATTCTGGACGTGCTTTGAGATTTGCAGCGAAAATTAGGATTCTCTGAGCAAGCCAGACGGTATAGTGGTTGCGGGAGCTACTACGATACCAAAAAACCCGGCTTCGAATCCTGGAAAAGGCATGGCTGTTTGTAAATGTGTACTGTCTGTGCGGCATGGGGCACTCTAAACATACGACGAACCAAAAGTCCTCTCGAGAGGGTGGTGGTAGGGAAAGAGGGGTGGGAGATCTTCGGACGCGCTTTGGGCTGCTCTCCTTCAAAATTGGGGGAGGAACTGAGCGAAGTCATAATGTCACCTGTATGGTGCTATAAGTCACAACAACACACAGGTTTCTCTAACACGCAACATCAGTATTGTACTATTTGTTTCATGGTAAGACATAGGGCTTACTTAACTAAGTAAAATGACATAGTTAATTTAATTCTGGTTTCTTCAGTGACTGTTTTCTGAGAAAATAAGTGTAGTTGAATTTGCTTTGCACAGACAGAAACTATAGGACTAGGATAAATATAGTGTAAACATTTTTAAGAGCGGTGTGTGAAACAGTAAATTATTGTAACAGAACAAAATGATGAAAAATAATAGCGTCACTGGCATTTCCGTTAACGATTTTCTTTCCAGTGACATTATGACGCAAAAATATGTAAGAGAATTTTTCGTTGTAGTAACAGAATTTTAAAATCTTTCCTTTGAAAAACACTATTCGAATATCAGGCAAAATAGAAATAGTTTGCTATATAATCCTCGTATTACTTGCTTCTTTTTTTAAATTTATTTTTATCTTCCTTCAGAAATTTTACCTTGATTCTTACTTATTTTTTATTATTAACCGAATTTCGCGTCTAATACCTACACTTTAGTTTTCAGTTCACGTTTAGCGTTTAACCGTCTTTGCCGGATCTCGCATATAGTGATGTTCTTTTGATTAAGGCTTTCTTGATTATTTTCATAAGATAATTGAATTTGTTCACATTTTCAGCTCCTTTTACATTGGTAAAAGATAAAATACTAAAGACACTTTGTTTCTGATTTATTTTTCATAAATAATCAGAAAAGGTTTGTTATGTTTGATTTATGATGACGTCATTTTTATGCGTATGTGTCTAATGTCGTGGTTTAGAATTTTCAAAACAGATCAACATTTCATGTGTTCTATTTTTAAATCGATGTTTTGAACTGAACATACCATTGCGAGGATGATAACGATGAAATTAAGAACTGCAGGGAAAAATATTTTCCAAAAGATTCCGAAAGCCAAGTCAGTGAAACGTAATCGTATTAAAGTTAGTGAAATAGAATGCGATATCGGAATTAATGACGGAATGCCAGCTAAAACAGGAAGTTATGTCAAAACTGTTATTAAGCAGTACGTAGAAAATATTTAGATGATCAACAGCTAAGTTTTCATCGTAGAATAAGAATAAAATCCCAATATGTTTCTGGAGGTGTCCGAGACAGAAATCATATTAGTTAGTCACAGTAATGCAGATGTGTAGAGTTTATACTTTTTATCGCTATTTTAGACAAAATATTTAATAAATATTTGATTAACAAAAGAAAAGGAATTGAATTGGGAATAAAAGTTTGGGTTTGCTTGCGTACATTTTTAAGAACATTGTTGAAACTTTTGAGCTATGTCTTTCATACTTCAGTATTTTATGGCATGGGCAATCAATAGATGTTATTTATTGTTTTTCTCGTATTATTTTTTATCGAAAAAATAATTCTACTCTTTAGTTGACGCTTCCTATATTCTCTGAGAGAGCATAAAGATGAACGTTTAATCTAATTCTGACTAAAGTATTCAGTTAGTATTTTCATTAAATTTCACTTTCTTCTATTGAATGTTAAGCAAATAGTGTAGTTAAAGATCTTTCGCATTCAATACAATTTTATCAATAGAGAAATATTGCTAATCCTCTCTAAAATTATTGTTTTTCTTAAAAATAGTTTTAATTATTTACAGACATAATTAATGGAGACTTGGCGTTTAAAGTGTTAAATATTTGTTAGAACAGCAGAAAGCATATTTCGTTGAGCTGAAATTTACCGCCCAGCAGAAGACGTGCGGGAAAAGAAAACTAATACTTAGATATTCATTTCTTTCCCTTTAATGGAATGAATTCGTTCTACAAATGCTTATGTAATTTTCATTTTGCGTAAAAAAAATAAAATTCATATTTTTAAAGTTCGACAAACGCCTCTCTCAACTTATTCTTTTCGACATTTAATTAATTATGCATCCACCTATTTAAAATACACAAATCAAGATGTTTATATTAATACATTTTGATAAGGCGGGAAGACGTATTCAGAAAGCCCTGCAAAATCATCTTATAAATTTACTAGGTATACAGATCCAAAGAGTAATGTAGATAAGCTGAAGTTAAGACTCCAGAAGGTTATTCAAATGGTTAAGCTATAACAACGACTGACACCATTTGATATAAAAGCCTGTCATGCTGTCTGTGAAAATTAGCGCCAACCTTTGTCTGTCAAATGCCTCACCGTTTCCCTTTTGCTTTTACAGTTTCCCTTTTGCTTTTACTTTTTCCCTTTTGCTTTTACCGTTTCCCATTTGCTTTTACAGTTTAGTAATTGACTTTCTAGCGATTAGTAATGAGGAAAAGCCAAAGGTTTTAGTTGAGAGAATTTGTTGCTAGTAATTCATGTACATCAAGTCATGTGACCAATTTCTTAACTTTATTGCCTAGTAGTAAATAGTTCTTTTGCGTCTTTTATTTTAGCTGTAGTTGAACGTAATAAAGAATGGGAAGGTAACGTTTCGTTGAATGTTTAATCTGCTTTTCTGGAAGCTGATATGAGTCAACGTAATAACTTGCTGACTATAAAAAACTAGCTTTACGAAGTACCACAAGATGAAGGTACTGTCCAAGAGCAATTCAGTAGCAGTGTGGGAACGTATCATATATCTCAACATTGATCCTAATTTTGTAGCAAATGTAATACTCATGTACACCTTATATTTTGAGATAAAAGTCGTTCTGTATCTACTTAGAGAGCTCGTATAAATCTTACTAGAATATTTTACAATTTTTAACTATACCGTTCAAGTTGAAATTATTAATTATGATTTCAGGTATATGTAAAATCAGTTCTGTAACACTGAGCAGAAACTTGACAGTAAATAAAACGCGAAGGATATAAATTTAATTCTCCTAAGGAAAATTTATCTGTATAAAAGTAAAAAAAACTTCTGCCACACTGCATTTTCATAGAGATTAAATACAGACAATAGACTTCCATAACACGTATATTAAGAACGCTGATACGTGCACTTTAGAAAATGTCCTGACATGTACCTCCACGTTAGGTTACTAAGAGAAAAACCAAATTTAAATTCAGAAGAAAAGTTGAAGAAATAAAACTTAAGTTTGGATAATATGAGTAGATGTATGTTAGGAAAACAACATTAAATTTGAAGATCTTATCAGTCAGATAAGGCGTAAAAACAGCATGAATGTAAGAGAATTAAATATATGAAGCGTAACTTGCTATTCATTTCTTAGTTTACATAGCATTTTTAAAAACGCTTTCTTTGAAATTTTGCCTTCTTTTATCTCGGCATTAAAATATAAGTTTATAAATATTTTAAGTATTAATCTGCTTAATAGTTCTAATTTTATTATCTTTATATTAAACAGTTATAATCTTTTTGAAACTTTCAAGTTTTTAGTATTATAATAATTTTAGTATTCCGAGTATTTTAGATATCATAATTCTTTTTTTTAACTAAATAAGGCTACATTTCAAAACTGAAATTTAAAACTTACTCAATTAAGCCAAAACGTAGCATTGCCTTTTGCCTCGTGATGTACCTAAGTAAAAGGAAATAATAAATAAGTAAATAAATATAGCATAACTTGAAATTATGCAGATTCATAAAGTAAAATATAATCTGCTATACAAATCTCACCGTTTCATAAATTAGAGTCAAAATATAGTAATAATAGTAAACACTTTTCATCTTAGAAAGTTTTGCATTTCATAAATAATTTTAAATAAGTAATGAATACAATAACACAAATTAGCTCTTCGCGATATAATTATTATAGTTCTCATTGCTTTACTTACAGCGAAAGTAAGGGAACACATGTTTCACAAAGTGCGTTGCTTGGTTATTTAAAATCAAAAAATTTTTCTATTGGAAGAATTTTAACTAATATTTGCCGAAAAAAATTCCGTATTGATCCACTGGTCTCTAGAGAGAGGCTGAAATCGGGAAGGTGAAACTTGATACCTGAATATGAATCCCCTCTTGTTAACTTAAGTTAAACTTAACATAAACTCAAGTTAATAACCGTCGGTTCTGTGTCTTGATGGAAAAGAAAATCTTTAGTTCTGAATAATCTTCAAGATGGATTTGTGACTCCATTTGTGAATTTTCAATCAGCGATTGGTTAGATGAATAAATCTACTTTTCATGCTGGTAGAAGATGGTATCGCGTAATTTTTTCTGTTAGAAGATCCATGTTTTACACACCTTTTACCTTAAGTGAACCAAGACTCATTATCTCTCATGCTTACCACCAGGAGAAGTTATTTTCGATTTATTGACCTAAAATTCAATTCAGCATATGTAGGAAAAATGAAATGATGTAATTAAAACTTTGATGTATTACTTCAGTACCAATTAGCACGATTCGACCTCCTAATTGGTACTAAAGAATAATTAATACTGTAAGTAAAAAATCGTAGTTATCCTTTCACATACAAACCTCCTGTATCAATAATAGTATAGTAGCACTGTCACTGCTGGGACAATGTATAAGTGATACTGCACTCCTCCTGTTTAAGAGCTTGTGCTACTAAACCCTGGCTGCTAACCCTGTGCTACTAAACCCTGGCTTCTCCATTTTGGATAATTTAAAAAATTGATGATTCTGATGGACAGCTTTCTCATATTAGAATATTGCTATTTAAAAAAAGCTAAAATAGCAGTATTTTAAAATAACTAACATGCTTTCTGTTTAAAAATATATAAAAAATAGTTCCTGCAGCCTTTTAATACATTATAAATTGAAAGATAAGCTTAAATATATCTCAGAGTTCTTCAGTTACGTTTTAAGAATGAGATTAATATCTTCAAAAGCACTTTATCAAAAGCACATAATTTGAAAATTTAGGAACTTTTGTTCAAATCCTTATGCGATTCTTTAACTATGACACATTCAAATTTAATCACTGAAATAAATGGAATTTGAGTCTTAATCCCAGGGCAAAGAGCCATCGCATTATGCAAAATTTCAATAAACGTCTTCATAATAGACAGAAAAATATACATTGAAAGACTTCTAAATTTATTGCTACTGCAGTTGATAACTAAAGATTAAAGATATTTGAAAACATGCCTAAGTAGACAGAAATATTGGAAAAATGGAAGTACAAGAAAAGACATGAAAAATACATTTTTCATTTTCCTAATATTAAAGAGAAATACCAAGAAACACAGAGGTAAAATACTTTGAGACAAATTCTAGTAATCTCAAGTAATAGATGGGATAAAATAAAAATATCTATAGTTCTGAGGAAAATATTTTCAAGGATTTTGAAACTCTGTTGTTAAATAAAAATATTTTCCATCCAATGATATAAAAAATTTATTCCAATAAAAAATTCCTTCAATATCTCATTGAGATAGTGCAATATTGAATATCTAATCAATAAATTTATTTCTTATCCGGGTTTAACAACAGGGTTTCAATAACAAAATCTCGTAGAGATATTTGTTATATTGGAGAAAATATCTGATATCCATCAAATGAAGAATTTAGGTATGGAAAAATAAAACTGTTTACTTGAAGGGTATTCTTGGAAATAAGATTTGCCTTTGTGAAAAATAAATTCTGTGACTAAAGTGTAAAGGCATTCCTTCATGATTTTTTTCATGAGTTTGTTTTTAAAATTCAATAAAACCTAACAATTAAGGAAAATTGCATTCGAAAATATATTCCAAATGAATTCCCTGGACTAATACGGTTTAGAAACTGAGTAAAATTCTACAGCCTGCCAGGACATTCATATGGGTAACACAAGGTTAACTATGTAAGCTTTTTGGCAGCCATGATATTCACACAGTTAGTTGTTAGAAAGTTGTCGGGTTATTAGAAATACAAGTAGGTGGAACACAAGAGTTTCATTTTATGCACAACTATGGCAGCATTTAATGCACAACTCGGTCCCAATTTTGATGGAAAACAACTTGTGGTATAAGATCCGAATGTCTGCGACACCTGACCACAACTTTGAACTTCTCCAAAGAAAACATTTTCTAAATTTCAACTAAAATTCACCATATTAGTATTACAGCAAAAACTAAGAATTAAAGCAACAATGTCTTGTCTAGCTAAGACATCATTGCTTTAATTCTTCCTGTTTAGGTGACGTTTAATAAAATTAATTGCCTTGAAATACAATTTCAGTTTGACTCTTGAGAAACCTAAAAATAGAGTCCTTCCAGTTTGGGGGCTATTAGAGATGCAGGTAGAAATAAATGGAACACAAGAATTTCATTACTGATCTGACTAATCGGCCTCTAGTTTGATGCGCTCGGTCTCAGTTTTGATGGAACATATCTTCAGAAGGCGGATCCGAGTGTTTTCCAACTCTTTTTCCAACCACAAAAACACTCCAGAGTACTTTTGTCTCGTCTGTATTTCAGGTGCCCCCAAGCCGGGAAGACGTTATGCACTTAAAAATACCCATGCCTTAGGCGGTGTTCGAACCAGACCCAGTGATCGGCAGCCAGCACCGTTCTACAAACTAAAATAGTTGGACGCTGTTTTGTAATCTCACATCAGGATATGGATACCATGCATTTCTTTCTTTTTTTTTTTTTTTTTTTTCTTGTCTAGCTTTATTCCCTATGACATTAACTTCCTGTTTGTTTCAAATAAATTTGTTTCATATTATGTCACGTTAACATTTCCTTTTATATGTCTCCGCTGAGTCCATTTTTATTTGCAATCCCTTAGACATATTTCTTGAAAACATTTAAAGCCTGCAGTCAGAATGTATATGTCATTCTGAAAAACTTCAAGCGTACGGAAAAACATCAGAAGGTAGACACAAATAGAAATGCCGTCAGTATTTCTGATTGACTGTCTTTCTTCCTGTAGGCATATTTAAAAAAGTTATATAATGTTTAAATATAAACGCGCTGCTTTTCCCCCGGGTATTATAATGATGATTAAATGGTGCTGCACTTGATTAATGTCTCAAAGAAAGTTTATCAATGTGATAAGTCTCCAACTTTATTCATTATTTTGCAACTGTAATTATAAGAATTATGGATGATAAAAGCATATAAGATATATGTAATAGTAAAGTTTAAACTCATTTAAAATTTACATATATATTAATTTGTGTTTGCTAACAAATTGGCTATTTTGAGAGCCCCGGAATGTTTTATTTATTCGAATGTATTTAAATAAGTTTCAGTTCATTAATTATTAATTTACAGTACGCCGAGTTTGGCTTTCATATCTCTCAAAACATCGCTGAGAGAGGCAGACTTGTGCTAATAAAGTTTCGGTTTGCTAATAACTTAAGCTGATGCCAAATAGAAACATTTAAAACAAATGCTAATGAATGTTAAGTTGCATTCATAAAGATAGAGAGTAGTAAAAATTATACTTCATCAATGTGTATTAAAAACAAGCGAATTCTAAAGACCATATTTGTTTTAAGAATGTTGTATAACAACATCACGTTATTTACTTAAAAGAAATCATTAGTAATTAGAAAATGATACTAACTTTAGGGGGAGCTAAATTAGATTAACAAACATTTACTTGCATAAAAATTTACATCTAAATGATTTAAAATATATAGCCTTATTTCGAGTTATTTAAATTAAATTTTTCTTCCTCTAAATGCGCCATAATGACCACAATGAAGCTGTAATAATAATTCCCATGTAGCATTTATTTATTAATAGTAATTTAAATCTATTATTTATTAAATTAAGATCTTTATCAAATCATGCTCAATATCTATGCTGATGTGTCACTATGGATCATATAGAGTCTTTTATAGATTAAACAAAAATCTGTTTACCTTACTAATCTCACTAACTGAAAAAGAAATCTTTCAAAATGTCTTTCCTCTATCACCTAACACATGATGGAATAAATAAAGATTCTAACAGAAACAGAAAACAATGAAAATATTGAATCCTAACCTCTTATAAAATCACTTAAATTTCATTAAAGACTGAAAATCCTTTATAAGGTATCCTCCTAGCGTGCCTCCGTGGTGTAGTGGTTCTCACGCTGGGCCGGTATTCTAGAGACCCGTGGTTCGATTCCCGGCGAAGGCGTTTGCTAATTTTTCATCTCTTCTGCTTTTCCAATTAACCTAATGTTTCTACACCTTAAAGATGCTGAACGATTATTCATCTGTTAAAGTACCACTAAATGATATTAAAGTTTTATTTTCAAAAATATTTTCTATATATATGAATAAATTAATTCATACCTATGCATTATTATGTCATTTTAGACAATAATTTCAATGTTGATGATGGAGATGTTCCAACAATCATGGCTGAGTGAAAACATTTTTTTTTTTTAAATTCTTTTAAGTGGACGCTAAAATCTTACTTGTTATTCATTTAATATAGATGTACTTTTAACATCGTTAAAATATATTTGAACAAGGGAAGAGCAATAAACTATAAAACAAAGTGGTGGTGGAGAAAGTTCCCAGATCATAATATGAAGATCTCGGGGTCATAATTACATTTTCGGTTCAACTTAATTTTGATTTGTTTTTCTTTAATTCTATTTAGAAAATTTTAAAATTATGATTGGTTGAA